GATGGAGCTTGAGCCTTGCTAAGGAGCAAGCCGTGAGCCCTTTGACCTTGAAGTCTGCAGATGAAGTTGGCACCTGTAGGAAAGAAGGAAAAGACACTTGACCAAGACATAAATAGAGATAAGATCCTTCAGGCCAATGAAAGAACCTGAAAATTCTAGGATGTCAGGGCCTAACCCTGGGCCATGCTTGTGCAGTGAGCAGGCTATGTTGAGCAGAGTGTCTCAGTCATGTGCACACAATGATGATCCCCCTGGGGATCTTTTTAAAATTCAGATTCTGGAAAAATAAAATAAAATAAAATTCAGATTCTGACTTGGGAGGTCTTGGTAGAGGCTGAGGTTCTGCATTTTGTACAGGCTCTTGGATGATGTGCAGGCTGCTGACCCACGAACCGTACGTGGAGCAAGGCAGGAGCAGGTGGGCCACACTCACCGGCCTCCTGGGAGCTCCCCTAGGACTGCCTGGTCACACTGTCTTCTCTTGGCCTCCTCTGCCATGTGACCACTTCTCAGTGGGCCACACCTCTCCTGCTTCCCTCCAACCAGCACAGATCCTGGAGCTTCCTGGCAGGGTGAAGGGCCAGAATATAGCAAACACAATTATTGTGCTAAGAAACAAATTTTTTTTTTTTTTTGAGACGGAATCTTGTTCTCGTCACCCAGGCTGGAGTGCAATGACACGATCTTGGCTGATTGCAACCTTCTCTTCCCGGGTTCAAGCGATTCTCCTGCCTCAGCCTCCTGAGTAGCTGGGATTACAGGTGTCTGCCACCATACCCAGCTAAATTTTTAGTAGAGATGGGGTCTCCATCATATTGGTCAATCTGGTATCAAACGCCTGACCTCAGGTGATGCACCTGCCTGGGCCTCCCAAAGTGCTGGGATTGCAGGCGTGAGCCAGCACACCTAGCCGCTAGGAAACAAATCTTTAAAAATCTGATATGAGGCCAGGCACAGTGGCTCATGCCTGTAATCCCAGCACTTTGGGAGGCCAAGGCGTGTGGATTACCTGAGGTCAGGAGTTCGAGACCAATCTGACCAACATGGTGAAATCCCATCTCAAAAATAAAAAATAAATAAATAAAAACAGGCATCTTAAAAAAAAAAATCTGATAATGAAATGGAAACCTCCAAGTCTTCAGCTTGTTCCCTGGGCCGACTGCTCTGAGGTGACAGTGACATTAGGATATGTGGTCAGTCACAGGGGCACTGCCTTCCTTCAAGGGAATCCCTGAAGCCCCAGCTCCAAGTGTGGCAAGGACAGGACCAGATCCCAGGAGCCTAGGATGGGGGAGCTGATCCACCGTGGCCCTCTGTGACCACAGCTGTAGATAGGGCTGCTTGCAATGGGCCGCACCATGGCCTGTTGAAAGCACACAGTGGACACGAGCTGATTCTAGAGCTTCCTCTGAGCTGGGGCTTAGCTCTCCAGTGGGGAACCATGGTCAGCAGCTACAGCCACTGGGCAGGATGGGTCCTGGCCTCCTGCCCTCTGCAGGGTCACTGGAGTGTCCGGGAGCTCAGGGTCAGGGCCAGATGGCTGTTTCCGGGGCCAGGGCTCCAGCTCAGGCTGTTTGGGAGCAGGAGCCCATCACACAGCAGAATGCCTGAGATGGTTGGTCTGCAGGGAGCAGCTCAGTCCGAGGGTGGCAGAGCCGTGTGTGGCTCTGGGTCAGGGGAGAGTGGCCAGTGCTGGGCCCTGTCTAAGGAGCCTGAGGGCCACAGGCTCTGTGGAAAGGGTCTGAGCAAGGGAGTCGGGACCTAGCGGGTAGGGAACTTGATTCAGGACATTCCCTGTGGTCACAAGGGGAGGTCCAGGCAGGACCAGGTCAGGAGGAGGCTGGGGCAGAGGCCCAGGCAGGAGGTGGTAGGCTGGGTGGGGACAGGAGTGGCAAGGGTATAGGTGAGGATGGGGAAGGGGCTCCCTTGCCTCCTGGCTTCCCTGAGGGCAGGGCTGGCCAATCCCAGCCCTCAGCTGAGCCCAGGGGCAAATGTGTGCAGGGAGGAGGGGGCTCCAGGTTGCAGCTTTGGGAGCCCTTGGAGGCAGCAAGGCAGACTCAGCTCTGGAACCTAGCACCCAGCCTGGGCCTGCAGGTGGGGGCTCAGGAGTGAACATGGTGGGGGCTCTGAGCAAGACCCTTCGGGCTTCAGCCTCAGCTTTCATACTTTGAAGTCGAGAACTGGACCTGTGCTGTCTGAGTTTGCCCGGGGTCTGGGCTGTCCTGTAGTTTGTGCAGAGGTCTCAGAGGGCCCTAGGGACAGACTGACCCAGGTCTGAGCCTCTGGGGAGCACGGGGGTGGCCAGGCTGAGACAGGCCTGGTTATGGGTTTGTCCTCCAAGGGGCACATTTACACTCTTGTGCTTCCTGGTATTTAGAAGAGAGTGGGAAATTCAGACATCAGGCCTTCCTTCTCCCTGGGAAGGATGGCAGGTGCCTGGAGCCAGGCCTGTCTTGAAAGTCAAGGGCTCTGGGCCTTCCTCCTCCAGTCCCCTGTTCCAGGCCTTCAGTGCACAAAGTGCTCCCCTCCTGGCATCTCTTCAGGGCTCCCCGGGATGCAAACAGGACAGGGATTAGGATCCCACATTTGAGGAAACCAAGGCCCAGAGAGGAGAAATGACCTGCCCAGGGTCACGGACAGGGCACACTTGGGTTTCACCTGCTCCAAGCCCCATCATGTCAGTTTGTCTCACAGTTGGGGTTGGCAGGGGGGTGCAGCACTGCCAGGACCCCTCTTCTTCCTCAGGGCGACTGACCCCTAGCAGCCCTGCTTTTTGAGAGTCCCTTTCAGCAGAGAACCCCTTATTTGAGTGACCAGGAACAGACCCCTGATTATCTTGGTGGGTGGACTATGGAGTTTATGGGCTTCCTAGTGCCAGAGATCTGATGCAGGCACTCAGCTAACCTCTGAGCACCTACTGTGTGCCTGGTAACGTCTCTATGCTGGTCACATCACAGGAGCAGGAGCCCCTCATGGTGCTGTTAGGTCCTAACTCAGATTAACAGGTCAGAGCCCCTGCAAGCCCAGGCATAGGCCCTGAGCCCTGGACACTGTCGTTTGTGTCTGAGAAGGGGTGGGAAAACTTCTCTGTAGGAAATGTCTTCAGCCCAGGATCCAGGGGTGGGGTTATTCCTGCTATCATGGAATCAATGTGGCTACAAGGCTTGGGCAAGGAACGCTTCACCTAGGCCTGCTCAGGAGAGTGACGCTTCCCTCATATGGAGGTTGGGTTGAGGGTGCCCCTGCAGATCACCAGAGCCCCCTCCAACACAAACCCAAAGTGGGAACCTGGGGTGTCCTTGGCAGAGAAGGGACCCAGCCCAAGCTTCCACTTCCCCTCAGGCACCAACTGCTTCTTGCTCAGGGGGTCTCCCAGGGGCCTAGGGGCAGAGGGAAGGTCTCGGAGGGCTCTGGGCAGCAGACTGGCAAGTGTGGAGGCCTGGAGGCTAGTTGAGGCAGGCGGCCACCTGGGCTGGCTCTGGGTTCAAAGATGAGAAAACCAGTCTTGGGCACAGTGGCTCATTACAGAAATCTGTTTAATGGTTTAGGAATATATACACTCTGGCTCTGCCAAGTTTCCATAAAGGCAACTTTTCCATGTTTTAAAAAATAAATTTGGTATAAAGATTTATATATTCATAAATAGGTGACATGAAAAATTACCAAATGCAAATAGAATTCTTGGGCTGCCTGAGGGCCCGCTCACCCCAAGTCCAGGCCCTACAGGGGTCAGAGGGTTCCTGCTGGAGGAGGCCCCAACTCCCGCAGCCTCTTGGGGAAAAGAAACTGAAATCCAATGTGAATCAGGAGCCCCTCCAGCTTCTTAAGCCAGCGTCACACCAGCCCCACCCAGGTTTCAGCCCACTCCCCTCTGCTTCCCCGGCAACCTCCACCCTAGCCCCTTCCCCTGCACTCTGGCCCCTGACCCCACCTGGTCCTGCTCTTCAGCAACAAAGGAAGAGATGACAGTTCTCCTTTCCCACCAGAGCCCGGGCTGCGGGGTGATCCTAGCCTGCCTAGGGGAGGAAACAGGCTGGTTTTGTTTTGCCTCATACACTTCCCCATCTTCTCTCCCAGCCCAGTCTTAAGGCCTGGGGGGCAGTGGGGCCCCCTCCTGATGAGATATGGTAGGGCAGGAGCCCCCCACAACCCCAGGGAAGATCACCTGGCCCCTCCAGCCCTGGCCCCGACTCTCTCCTCACTGTGATCCCTCTGAGCCACACGCCCAGAGAACAATGCTTCTTTCCAGATCCTCCCTCCCATTTGTGCCTTCTAACCTTGGTGCCCAACTCAGGGTGAGGCAGTTAAGAGCCAGAGTAAAATGGGCCAAGCCGAGGACTGCCAGGGCCTCTCCTTTTTTGTCTGGAAGACTCGACTCTATAAAACTAGACTGGGACCCGCATACCACTGGCAGGACTTCTGCTTGTGGGGTAAGGTTGGGTGCCCTGCAGCGCCCTCTCATCCTGAGCCTCAAGGATGCTAGATTCTTTTTTTTTGTTTTGGACAGAGTCTTGCACTGTTGCCCAGGCTGTAGTGCAGTGGCGCCATCTCAGCTCACTGCATTCTGTGCCTCCTGGGTTCAAGCAATTCTCCTGCCTCAGCCTCCCGAGTAGCTGGGAGAACAGATGTGTGCCACCATGCCCAGCTAATTTTCTTTTTTTTTTTGGTATTTTTTTTTAGTAGAGAAGGGGTTTAACCATGTTGGCTAAGATGGTCTTGATCTCATGACCTCGTGATCCACCTGCCTTGGCCTCCCAAAGTGCTGAGATTACAGGTATGAGCCACTGTGCCCAGCCGCTAGCTTCTACTTTGACCTTAAATATCCACTTTCCCATCTTCTTCCCCCACCCACCAGTCTTCTGAGTGCTGGACTGAAGGATTAGCTAATTTTGAAAGCTGAGTGGCAAAACACTGGGCCCCAAACCAGCAGACAGTCCCCACCTAGCTATGGGCTGTGACCCCATGCTGTGCCTATGAAAATGAGAAGCTACACAGAAAGCCAGAAAACTCAGAGGTCCTGATAAGGCAGCCAGCCAGGCCCCAGGGAGGTGTCTGTGAGTGCTGCACAGGCAGTGAAGGCAAGAAGCAGGTTCCCTGCCTGGAAGGGGCTAGGGCTTCCCTGGAGCTGCACTCAGACACCAAGTCTGTGGGTCTCATGATTCTTATACTGCTGCTACATGTGGAACCCCAGGATGGCCTGGAAGAACCCAGGGCACCAGCCACATCCCTGGAAAACAACAACCTGTTGCCATAGGTTAAGCAAACCCAAGAGAGGAAACAGAGCCAGCAGGCGTGGGACAGGGAGGACCACTGGCCCCTCCTACTGTGGCACACACCGGTGGGCTCAGGCCAGGCTTGGAATGTAAAGATCGCAGAGGGCCAGCTGCTGGATGGCAGGGTGGCCCTCGAGGGTACCCTGCTTCCCCTTCCTCAAGGAGAGCCTCCATCCCACAGCCAGACCATAGGATGCAGAGCTCCAGGGTTTTACCCAGCTGCTCTAGTCACCGGTGCCTGGGAGGGCTGGCTCTGGAGGGCTGGGCTTGGCAGGCCAGGGAGAGCAAGGAGGTGGGGAGCTCCCAGCCTGCCGGCCCAGCCACCGGTCAGCACCCACAGCCCCAGCCTTCTCCGATGTCCTTGCTGTTCAGCTGGATGTGGTCGGGGCTCTTCTCGCTGAACAGAGGGCCTCCATGCCGCATGATGAGTTCCGTGGCCACCCTCAGGAAGGCCTCCTCCACATTGCTTGAGTCCTTGGCAGACGTCTCAATGGCACACAGAATGTCATAATGCTCGGCCAGTCTCTGTGCCTCAGCGTGGGGGACCTCCCGAAGCTCGCTGAGGTCTGACTTATTCCCTGCAGAGGAAAGCCAGGGACAACATGAGGCCATGGGGGCTAGGCAGCCCAGTCTCACCTGGCAGGGCCACACTGACAGCTCCACACCATCCACTCCTCTCCACCACTACAAATGGACACCCCTGGGCATGGTCATCTGTCTTTCTTTAAAAAACCTTTTGGCCGGGCGTGGTGGCTCAGGCCTGTAATCCCAGCACTTTGGGAGGCCGAGGCGGGTGGATCACGAGGTCAAGAGATCGAGACCATCCTGGTCAACATGGTGAAACCCCGTCTCTACTAAAAATACAAAAAATTAGCTGGGCATGGTGGCGCGTGCCTGTAGTCCC